GGGGGGGGGGGGGGGGTGGTTCAGAAGTGTTGGAGAGCCCCCATAAGTGTGTGTGTGTGTGTGTGCTCCATCATCCCTCCCCGGGGCCGCCGTTCCTCTTCTTCTCTGTTTTTTTTTTTTTGCGGAGCAGCTCGTGCCCGAAGAAGTTCGTGACCCCGCGGAGGGGATGATGCGTCGTCGTTAAAAAAAACAAAAAAAAAATCAAGCTCGGATATTTTAATGTGAAGTTTACTCGACGGTTAGATATGTCCGAAGTTTTATGGGGTTACATACTACCTCGGGATTTGCATATCCGCCCCCCCCCCCCCCCCACCCACCAAAAAGAGAGCTTCTTAGAGAAACGGCGGAGGGATTTCCACCCTAATGCCCGAAATCTGGACGGAATGTCGTGTCAAAATATTGGAGAGCGCCGACCCATAGGCGTCTCTCCGGCCTTATTTCAGACAGAAGTTGGCTCCTCTCGTTTACTATGAACTGGCTGGTCTCTCTCTCTCTCTCTTTCTCTCTCTCTTTATCCCTCTCTCTCTCTCTCTCTCTCTCTCTCTCTCTCTCACTGTCTTTCTATGTCCCTCTCTCCTCCTCATCTCTAATTAGTGTTTTTTTACCCTCCGCGTTGTCTCGCAGGTCGGCGGCGGGAATTCGGACCGGGACGCTTTCCTCGCGGCTTCCTGCGGCCGCCCACTCTCCCGGACGGCATGCGGACGGCGCATGCCGCGTGAGTCGGACTCGGGCCCCGCTGCTCTGCGTCAGGCTTCCGCCCCCCGGAGGAATGACGGCCCCGTGGCGCTTGCTCTGGCTCACCCTCCTCCTGCCTCTGTGCGTCGCCCCGGCCAGGCTGCCCACCGCCCAGCCCACAGGTAGGAAGAAGTTTTCTTTATTCCTTTTGCCAGAGAAGAAAGACACATAGGCGCTGAAGTTTGACTCACAAGTTTATCCCCAGTCACTCAAATGTTTTAAGGACACGCTAAGGCAAGTTTTCACCAAGCACCTCTTGGGAATAACATTGTTTATTATTGTAAAGTAATCCAATTTGACCCCTGTCAGACTGTGTTATCTGAGGCCTTTAATCACATACAACTAAAAAGTCTGAACCAATTGTGTGTTTTTAGGAGTCGGACAGAGACTTTTACACTGTGTGTAGACACAACACTGGGCCACCCCTTGAGTTAGGTCCCCTCGTTTATGCTTTAAAAAACGATTCACAGCTCCAAAAGCGACTGTTCTAGGTGCGGAAAATGAGGCAATTAACAGATATAATGGTCCTCATGACGCAGTTTTCACTGTGAACCGAGTGTTTTCCCAGAGTTCCACAGAGGGCAGCCTCTTGCACCACAAGGCTGCAGCCGGCTTCTTCTCCGGGGGGTGGGTTTAGGAGGGATCCCCAGACGACAGCGTTCAGTTGACTCGCTCCCCTTGGTGGGTTGCGTCATTTTTGCCACACATGTGACATCTGCTCAGAAGCACGCCGGCTTTTTTTCCTTTTCTTTTCTTTTTTTTCTGGGTGTTTGTCGCTTCAAATGAAAGCTCTCAAAAGACGTTTATGGTTCGCGTAAATGCAGTCTTTTTTTTTTCTTTGTCTCTATTTTATTTATCTTTTTTTACAAGGAGGATTTTAATTGGACTCCTCTCGCTTCACTGAGCCTAGTGCGCGTTTCCCGCTTTGCCGTGGAGGCGGAGACAAACCCGAAGATCAATCCAAAGTAAACTTCGACTGTGTTTGCTTTAATCTCTCCATATTGCGCAAAAAACACACACTCACACACACACAGACAGCAGACTAATCTTTTTCTGAGGCGTGAGCCAAGAGTTGTTTTTCTCCCCTCCCTCCCCCTGTGTTTTTTTTTTTTTTTTGTGCGAGTGTTATTTAAAGTGAGTCTTTGACACACGTTGGGAAAGGAGAGAGAGGGCCCAGCTGTCTTATGCAAGCTGAGATATGTTCCTGTGTGTCGGGGTTGGGAGTGGGGGGGCATGCCGGGACTACTTTTTTCAAATAACTGTGCGTGGAGCAGGGAGACCTGAATGTTTCCACTGCAGGCTCGTGTTTTTAAAAAAGATTTCTTTTTTCTGGAGGCGGCGCAGAGTGAGGAGTTCTCTGGCTTCGGGAAGGACACGAGGAATTCCATCACTTCACGGAGACTTGCGCTTTGAGAGGCTGGGCTTGACAGGGAGTTAATTCCACTCCTCGCAGCCAGAAAATTCCCACACCTCTCATGTAAACCCCCCCCCTCCCTCCCTCCCTCCATCTCCCGGTGTAAAACTGTAGACGTTTTGTTATCCCGCACGCCTGATTGCCTTCCCTGCTGGGAGCCATCGCGGCCTATCACGCTTGACATCATCCCCAGATCTGAGTGTGCGTATTTAAAAAAAAAAACCCATCCTGGAGGCCGGCGTTCAGGCTAGGATCTTCACACACCTGCAGCCACGATTAGCGGCGTGCTACGGTGGCCTGCAAGTTCAGGGAAGCAGGCAAATGGACGACAGTCTGGCATATCGCACAGAAAAGAGCGGTCGTGTGCGCCGTCGAGCGGGATGTTGGGGAAAGAATGTCCGGCCCGAGTGCTTCCTCTGCCCACGGCCCTCTGGCCTCCAGCGGGGTTCCCCGGCGTCCACAGATGGAGGAGCCGTGGGGGTAAAGGGGACCGCCGTTTTACTGGCAGATGGCGCGATTTCCCCCTCGGCTCCGAGCTGCAAAAGTTGTCGCTCCGGTTTCGTTGTTTTTTTTGCCGTGCGACACTGTTACTGTGTGCGTGTGTGTGGGTTTGTGAGTGTGTGTGTGTGTGTGGTGGGAGTGGATTAATTTGCTCGTGTCAGGGTCAGCAGTCAGCGGGCGCCGACGTCCTTGAAAGTTTGCGGCGGGCCCGCGGATGTCGATGTGAAAGTTACCGTCTGTTAGCTGCCACTTATTGTAGTTTGGACGTGACCTGTGACCCCCCCCATCCACACACACACACACACACACACACACACACACACACACACACACAC